CCCCATAAACTGACCTAATCACAAACTAATACATGTAAACTTAGCAAAAGTTTCAAAGTCAAAAGACTATGACAGAGGGGGCGGGGTCAAATAATCTCCATGGAAATGAGATGTGCGAATGCTAATACAACTGCATACCAAATATTATTGACCTACCACTAGTGGTTCCCCATAAACTGACCGAATCACGCCGACGCCGGAAACACCATACCTATGTCTTGCTTTTTGACTCCGTCAAGGCGATACAAAAAACCGTCATAATGGTATAAAAAGAGCAACGTTTTAGTCCAGTCAGTTGTTCACAGAACATTTATTTTTTCTAATTGCCTTTTTTAGAAGCTTTATATCAGTATTATTATTATACTTTCCACGACTTTGACCTGTTTATTGTATGGAGACTGTCTTTGTTAGGTAATATAAGGCAAGTAATTATGTTTGTTTAATAGTTTCTATTTTTGTCATTAATTATCTGTTTGATTAATAAGTTATTCTTAATTATACATATAATTAATATTCTGGTCTGTTCATATACTAAATGAACAAACGTGATTTTGAAACGACATTGCCCGATATAAATGTTCTAGATTTTTAACGATAATGACTAGACAAGTTGTTGACTTGTGTTGTTATTCTATAAGCATATTGAAAGTGAACTAAACATGTAAAGAAATACCACGGTTGCACATTAGGTAAATGACATTATTTTGAAAAAAACTCCTGCAGCACCTGTTAAATATAACTTTGTTTTGCCAAAATAATTTGATGTCATATGCTATAAACCATATTGATGTCCAGGGTATTTTTTTTTATCTTTGTTGCAATCATGTTTTTTCTCAAAAACTAGAAATTCCTTTTAAAAACTAGATTTCAACGCATTCAAAGAAAATCAAGGCGATAAAATTACAACTATAATATACCCTCAACATCGCAGGTCCGCGACGGAATATGATACGAACGTTTATTTTTAACCTGGATTTGTAGTATTTGAATTGCTATCTGATGAAGTCACGCAGTGAATATGTTAGACATTGTTCGCTGCTATCTTTCTGTCTGAACCCGTCCTTGTTTTTAACTTGAAATTGATTTGTAACGTTCTCATTTCAATGTAAGCAGCTTGACGGGTGTCAACGTGGAATAAAAATTGCTAACCTATTCTGTCTCTAGTTTTAAAAGGGTGCATGTTTAACGAGTTTTTTTATAGTCAGAGATTGTAATGTTTGTTTTTTTCCGAATTATTTCCCAACTAACCTTAAATGAATAATCATTAGGGCGATTTGATCTGGAAAACAGAAAAGCGACACGGGTCTTCTCATTTAGTATTAAAGATGTTCAGTACCAGAATCAGATTACCTATTTTTGGGGGAGGTCGGAAAAGGATAACAAAAATATTTTCAAGATCTTTATAAGGAGTAACTGATCTTTTTGCTTATATAGGAAAACAAAATTTGGAAGTCTGACACAAGAAACAATCTTGCGCAGCCAGATATTTTCTATCTATTACTATTTTCAATTTACCAGACGATAACTTCCATTTTATCCTTGTTTCTTTTTTCCGTGTCGGCCAGGTTTGTTCATTTAACCCAAATTTGGTTAAAATTGGTCCAGTTTGGTTTTAGAGGACAGAATTTAAAATAACAGAGATATGTCTCGCCTTTTTGTAACTTTTGGTAGTATAATGCAAATATTTAATAAAATAACAATATCTAAACATGTAAACTTTGCCAAATATTCAAAATCAAGGAACCATGAATTAATGTGCATGACCAAAAAACTCTATGGAAATGAGAAATACCAATGCTTATAAAACTGCATATCAAATACCATTAACTTATCATAACTGGTGCCCTTTACACTAACCAAAACACAAACTTTAACTTGTAAACAATGTAAAAGTTTCAAAGTTAATGAACAATGATGAGGGGATGGGGCCACATTATCCCAAAAGAAAAGAGACTTGCAAATGCTAATACAACTGCATATCGAATATCATTGACTTAATATTACCGATTCCTCTTAAACTGATCAAATCACAAACTTTTAACATTTTAACTATGCAAAACATTCAAATTCAAAAGACCATGACTGAGGGGGCGGATCCAAATAATCTCGATGGAAATGAGATGTGTCAATGCTAATGCATCTACGTACCAAACACCATTGACCTACCACTAGTGGTCCCCTTAAACTGACCTTACCACAAACTAATACATGTAAACTAAGCAAAAGTTTCAAAGTCAATAGACCATGACTGAGGGGGTGGGGCCAAATAATCTCCATTGAAATGAGATGTGCTTATGCTAATACAACTGCATACCAAATATTGTTGACCTACCACTAGTGGTTCCCCATAAACTGACCTAATCACAAACTAATACAAGTAAAGTAAGAAAACGTTTCAAAGTCAATAGGTCATGACTGAGGGGACGGGGCCAAATAATCTCCATGGAAATGAGATGTGCCAATGCTAACACAGCTGCATACCAGATATCATTGACCTACAACAAGTGGTTCCCCATAAACTGATCTAATCACAAAGTAATAAATTGTTGACGCCGCCCCTGGCGACGCCGTCGGAAACAGCTTACCTAAGTCTTGCATTTTGACTCCGTAAAGGCGAGACAAAAATCATCCACGGATAACTACAATTTCATTTTCAAACTTTGAAAGGCAATCGAGTAAATTGTGTCTCAAATACTTTGGTAAATTAGAGGTAACAGTAGTTTTTTTCGATGTTTAAAATAAGAAATCCATATTAAGAACCTACAAATCAAGGAAAACACAAAACCAGAGGGAATCGCATGAAGTCCAAATGAAGCGAGAACGGGGATGTCAACAAGTTTAGCGTCCCTTGCGATATAAAAATAAATTGATATGATATGATTGCCAATGATTAAACTATCCACCACAGACAAAGGACAATGATGATAACAACTATAGGCCATCACACGGCCTTCAACAATAAGCAAAACCCATACCGTATAGTAAGCAGGCACCTTCCGCCAAAATGCAACGATGAGGAATATAACACAATCGGTAATATTTACAATACGACTATTCTTGTATAGAACGATTATTTACCCGTGAACTATTAGTACTCTCGCAAAATAAAGCGACTGGCAGGAAAGTATGAATGAGGGCATTCTGGTTGACAACAATATTGGAGGCTTCTGATACGTCACAAACAATAGAGGAATGTTACAATTGTTAAGTATATCGATGGTCTAAAGTATGTTTAATGAAAACAAATCTAAAGAAATGGATCTCAATACAGTTGTAATATTTTAAGTAATTGTTGCTAATTTCATAAAATTCGTAAGGGTTCCGCGGAACCCAGTGTCTCGCCTACTTTTGCTGTTAATCGCAGGCTCAACAAAAATGAGGAAAAAATTAATAAAAATATTCCTCTCTATACTATCTTTTGATTGTAAGTAGCTCCTGTCCAAGTTTGGTAAAAATCCAGGATAGTTTATCAATCTAATAAATGCTTTAAAAACTTAAAGTGCAGACTGTATGTAATGTTAACTGGAAGAAAAACTAAGTCCATTTACAAGTAAAATACGGAAAAAATGGAATTTATTTTTTACTTTTTTACAAAATTTACTTCTGGAGACTATCTTTTGATCCTAAACAAGGTTCTTTCCAAGTTTGGTAGAAATCCAGGATAGTTTAAGAAAGTTATTAAAATTTCAAAAACTTTAACCACAGAGTGAATGTAATGTTTCATGGCAGAAAAACTAAGTCCATTTATAAGTAAAATACAGAAAAAATGGAATTTTTTTTTTACAAAATTTACTTCTGGATACTATCTTTTGATCATAAACAAGCTTCTTTCCAAGTTTGGTAGAAATCCAGGATAGTTTAAGAAAGTTATTAAAATTTCAAAAACTTAAACCACAGAGTGAATGTAATGTTTCTTGGCAGAAAAACTAAGTCCATTTATAAGTAAAATACGGAAAAAATGGAATTTTTTTTTTTACAAAATTTACTTTTGAATATTATCTTATGATCATAAACAAGCTTCTGTCCAAGTTTGGTAGAAATCCAGGATAGTTTAAGAAAGTTATTAAAATTTCAAAAACTTTAACCACAGAGTGAATGTTATGTTTCTTGGCAGAAAAACTAAGTCCATTTATAAGTAAAATACGGAAAAATTGGAATTTTTTTTTTACAAAATTTACTTTTGAATATTATCTTATGATCATAAACAAGCTTCTGTCCAAGTTTGGTAGAAATCCAGGATAGTTTAAGAAAGTTATTAAAATTTCAAAAACTTTAACCACAGAGTGAATATTTGTGGACGCCGCCGACGCCGACGGAATGTAGGATCGCTATGTCTCGCTTTTTCGACAAAAGTCGAAGGCTCGACAAAAATCAAAGCAAGGACGTTTTTACTTAAAAAGTAGGTCCATGAGCAATGCATTCAAGCATTTATCCTTTTGTAGGTCTTATGGTTATTTGTAAGAAGTATGAAATATTTAATATTTAGACTAAATGTATAAAGAAGAAAATGAGTTTTCAGGATAGTGAATAATAGAAAAAATAATTTACTTGTGTTATTAATTCCTTTAATAATATTAGAATACACATATTGTTCTTATGTGTGCATACCACCATTACTACAATTATTTCATGTCAATGCTCCGGATCTATCTGTTGTTTTTATTTCTTGACTTTGGTATAAAGCTAAAATAAAATCTTTAATCAAAAGTACGCTCCTATTGAACCTTTCAGTATAATTTTTGATACATTATAAACATATTAACGTTCGCACAAAATTATAATTGTACTTTCTGTTTGGATTAGAGGATTTAATAAAATCCTATGAAATGATACCGCTATATTGTTGGTGAGCAACAACAAAAAGTAGTTATCACAACGAAAAGCAAAGATGAAATAGATTAATATCCGGTCTGTCGTATTTCTATGAAATTAGAATCTTATAAAAAAGAGTAAACAAACATCTAACAAATTTAATGCCAAATTTAAAAAAGAAACTAAAGTACAGAAACAAGTTTATTTCATATGAACAATAAGTAACAAACAAATGCACCATCTGAAAACATCACAATACTGATGAAGCTATCTGTCACAATTCATTATCAACACCACAACATTCTTCACAGAGGACTTTATACACAAACCATGAAGTCTCTTTGAACAAAGATCACTGTATATTGATAAGAAGAATCTAACAGCGTTATAAAATCTTTTTTCCATATTTGTGTGTCCCTCTTTCGAACACAATTCTCTTACAAATATAGTTTGCTATCTATTTTAGTGTGACATGTCACATGAACATTCAAAATTTAATGAGATGATTTATAATAATAAAAACACATCTAGGAATTGATTTATTTAACCCGTCCATGTAAATATGGATTTTCTTTTTACATAAATTTGTAAATATATACAACTGTAGGGAAATGTTATGAATTTTGATCATTTTAATGACTGTTTTGTCGTTCATTATAGTGCAGATCCTTTACCGAATTTACGCAGATCTACTTAATATAAATAGTGTTAGGTGGTAAAATGATACGAACAGGCAAATTTACATTTGTGACAATGCATCATTTCCCAAGTACTTATTACTTAATTTGCTTAAGGCATTTTTCATTTTGCCCAGATGAAAATAATATCTGACTGCTGTAAAATATTTCTTTATAATATATATTCCACAGCAAGTTGGTATAATCAAAATAAGCTGTGTCTATTCTATGAATTTCTCTGATACTTGGTTAAATATATAAACATGTCAGACACAAGTCATTCATATCAAACACTTAACAATTAGTTAAATAAGTTATTTTATGACTTACGGCCATCTAAAGTGAAAAAAATCAACAAAAAAGGAAAACAATTGAGGCATTTACAGAAGAGAGTAAAAATAAAGTATAAGCACTATATATTTTAAATCTCTGTTAGATAATTTAAGCATCAAAAAAGAAAGGGGAACTAACTAGAGGAAAAAAGTCTAGAGACTCCATAATACTATGATAAAAATAAAGTAAACGAAACCTTTCCTTAAGTATATCTTTTTCAGTCATCAAAATGAAACCTTGTTTTCAAAGCTTTTGAAATAAGACATAAAGCAAGATTTAATAGGTTTCAATATAGCTGATATACAAAAGATATTTATTTGTTTGTTATATTTTTTCAGGGACCTAATCGATATATTCTATCTAATAGATTTCTAGGGAAAACGATTTTGTTTCTGAAGTGTGACAACTGTTATTCAGACAACAAGATAGAATGCTTAAGTTTATATTGCCTAAATAGCATATCTACTGTGTATACTTATAGCAGACCAAAACATATATTTCTATTATACTTTCTAAACAAATCTTTAACAACCTTTGCACATTAACAATCATGCATGCTTCTACATTCATGTACAAACGTATAATATAAAATTACATAACATAAACAAACAACACCTCATTTTGGCAAACTTACTATTTAACATTTTTGAAACAACTATAAATTGACTATGTTCTATGTGATTTTGCAAAATAAAAAACTATAACAACAATTTTCTCGTCCAGCGAGTATTTATAACAAATTTGTTTGCTTCTTCTGTTAAACACTTTGTATTCTTATGTACATATATTCATACAACATATTGTTATCTATTACAGCTAGAGCTCATAGCTCCTATTTTGATGGATAGGTCGTTTTGTTTAATTGTGAGATATTTGAATTTTTTACGTTTTCAGCATGTTTCTATAAACGTCAATATAGCTTTTGTTACATAATATGAATAATATTGATTTGTTCATATTAGTGATTTATATCTAAATCACATTTCAATACTTATACTGAGCAACGACCTCCGCCGGTCATTGTACTCTCAGAAACTTCTTATCATCTTTTCTATTACCAGGTATCACAAAGAATCCTTCTTACAATGTTACAATACTAATTAATACAGTCTTTCCACATCGAGATGTTATCAGACTATAATTGTATAAACCCCTAAGTGAATACCTCATGATAATTCTTCTTCACCAAAGCCTGACGTTACTGCTCAGCATCATTACAGCAATGATAAATGACTTAAATGGATCAATATTCTAAATACGTTCAGAAAGGTTATTACATCAATACATTTTTAAATGCTATGAATGATAAATTATATGGCATCAATACTGACATTTAATGTCATATCTAATGTTGATGTTAAAATGCAGACGTCATTTCTTCTTTAATGGCTTCCCTGAGAAAAAAACTGTCTTTTTGGCATTACGCCAACCCGTGCAGAACAATTGCTATTAATGAGAAATGTTTTTACTTGATATTCGTGACAATCATAAAATTAATATTTGTTGTTTAATACTGAATAATAATTTTTTGATAGGATACATATAATAATAACAGCCATTTAATTTCAGGAAAAGTTAAAAGTCGTGATGATAAGAACGTGACGGTTTATGTTTAGGACTCTTTGCCACTGAGCTTTGTTCACCTCCAAAGTCATATATTTTCTCTTGTTTTCTTTTATCTTTCTCCATTGCCTTTTTCTTCTCTTTCTTGTCTTCTGTTGCATTACTTTGAACGATTACCATCTTTCCTTTATCATGTTTTTCAGAAATCTTTTTCTTCTCAGATCTTGAGAACACAAGGTTGAAGTCATTTGTTTGTAGCAGACGACAATTACCTTCACATACAGAATGAAGTCTTTCATAACAAAATGTGAATTCAGATATGGACTGTATTGCTTCTTTAACGTCTTCAATAATCACAGATTTGATTGATTTGTCTTTCATTAAATCACCAGTTTTCACATGTAGTAACTCTGTAACGTCCTTCAAAAGAACAACGTTTTGTCTGAAAAATAAAAAGGACAAAAATTAAAATACACTGATTAGTGACGAAATAGTCGCACGTATATTGTTCCGCCTGACAGAAGTTCATCTGGAAACTTTGTTATAAACAATGCCATAACATCTGTTCCTATTGGAACAAATAGTATATATCCTTTATTCGGTAAGGAACAAATTCTGTAATATTTGTTCCAGTGGAAACAATATTTCAGAACTTCAGAACTTCCGTTTAGAACTTATATTATGAAGGAACATTATGCCTCAATAGGTCAAATCCCACAAATCTCGAATAAATTGACAAATAGAGACGTGGATACAGTATGGTCAACAATATAAAACGAATGAATGCACGGAAGTTTTAGAAAAGCAGCTTGTGACTATGTAAATAGACAGAAGAGAGATCTCATCGTTTTGAACGTTTTCACCCCGTCAGATTTTCACTATCTATAGTGGTTTTCAAGACAAAAGACACGACTTGTATTTAACCCTTCCCTATGTTCTATTTGTAACCATGTCGGCCAGATGAATTGGAAGGCGGGGGTTATCGGACACCTTTTAAAAGTAGATAACCCAATGATGATTGTGGCCAAGTTTGGTTAAGTTTGTCGTTGTAGTTTCAGAGGAGATGATATTTATAAAAGTTGATCGAGGACGGACGACGACGATAGACGCCAAGTGATGGCAAAAGCTCACTTTGGCGCGTTGGGCCAAGTAACCTTGAAAGGAGCGAGACCTAATGCATCAACGGGGTAAGCGTCTTCTGTCATGCATGCATCAAACGTCATGAAAACCCACATTCAGTCAAAATATCACCATCGGAAATATGACACAATATGTAAAGCTACAGTTCAAATTAAAATACAGGAATATAAAGATCTAAGATCGCAAAAAATATGTCGCAAGTGAGCTGAGACACCGACACATCGTATCGGTTAACCAATTCGTAATGGTGACATTTAAACTTGTGTAATGTCGTTTTGAGTTGCTCTTCCACATAAACCTGTTGGAGCAGATTTTGTGTAAGGAGCCCACCTTTTAATGAAGTTCGTATAGTGGGAATATGCACAAACGTAACGTATTTACCGAAAATAACGCCATACGATAGGGCAACGGGTATAATACTACTGAGAAATGGGAATTTGACGATTGGAAAGTTGAAATTATCACGTTTTCATAGATTCTAGTATGAAGTCGTCTATTTGTGTCAACATTGAGGAAAATATTAAGATATTAAGCACTTCTAGTTGCGATTGTATGATGCCAAACAATCTATAGACAATAGAACATGTTGGAGCAAACGGTCTCAGAAGCAGTATGATGCAGAATTCGTTTCAACTTTCCCCAAAACCATACATGGGATTTAGCTGTTGTATTGTAATTATTTGCGGATCCATCTGTTTGAGTAAGGAATGTGTGAAATTATTGCTACCTTAGGAAAGAAGGAATTCATAGACAACGGTTGGTAATTTGCCGCATCTCTGGCTACCTGATTTGCCAATTTGTCAAAATTTGCCTTTTTCGCGCATCCCGTCCTCTTACAAAATCTGGCATTGAGAATATTCTTTACATTTTTTATTGATGTGTGTAGCATGCTCTCAGATAAGCAAGTAAAAATAAATATATTTAAAAAATAATTCAGCCATTAAAGCAAGTCAAAAATGTAATATTTAAAACAATAATTCAGATAAACAAGTGAAATAAACTGTTTACACAGATATATGTCTCGCCTTTTTGTTATTTCGAGAGTTAAATGCAAAAATTTGAATTAAAATAGCAATACTTTAAGATATAGGTTATGCAAAATATTCAAAGTCAATAGACCATGACTGAAGGAACAGGACCAACCTATCTCCATGGAAATGAGACGTGTCAATGCTAGTACAACTGCATACCAAATACCATTGACTTACAAATAGTGGTTCCCCATAAAATGACCTAATCACAAACTAATACATGAAACTAAGCAAAAGTTTCAAAGTCAATAGACCATAACTGAGGGGGCGAGGCCAACTAATCTCCTTTGAAATGAGAGGTGCCAATGATAATACAACTGCATACCAAATATCATTGACCTACCACTAGTGGTTCCCCATAAACTGACCTAATCAAACACTAATACATTGATGACGCCGCCGCCGACGCCGGAAACAACATACCTTATCTCGCTTTGTGACTCCATCAAGGTGAGACAAAAATGATATTTAAAACTATAACTAAAGAAAAGCAAATTATTTTAGTATCTATTGTTTTACAATATTCTTGCATTTTGCATGAGAATATACAAGTAAGTATATAACGTTTTAATAGTTGTATTTCTTCTTCTGATTATCTTTTATATCTCCAAATCACGTAACAAAAATCATATAATGTGATTTACAGACCTAGTTCCAGCTAGTATCGATCGCCTTAAAGAACGTAAATAAAATACCACAGACATTGTGTAATTAAACGTTTGGCAGAATGCCAAGATATTTGTACTTTTATCAAATACGCGATGTGCACAAATGTAAATCTAACATAATTTCTAAATATGCTAATTGGATCATAATACGTTCATTTTCATCGGCGGAATGACAATTGATTTGATTTAGAAATATATTAACATACTCTTTATTTTTGTTCTAATCGTGAACTATTTAGCATTCTTTTCTTATTCATATGGTGTAATGCAAACATTCCTTTAGTTTCGGACAATGTTATGACCTATCAAGAGACAACATTTCCTGTCAAGCATTCTGTTTTTCTTCTTCTTTTTCTCTAAGTGCGGAACCGAATTTAAAAGGAAATATAAATTAAGGCAACAGTAGTTTACCGATGTTCAAATCTTCCCTTTTCACGAATGTGACCTACCGAATTAGACTATTTACCGGATTTGTAAAAATTTAAGCAACACGACGGGTGCCACATGTGGAGCAGGATCTGCTTACCCTTCCGGAGCACCTGAGATTACCCCCAGTTTTTGGTGGGGTTCGTGTTGCTTAGTCTTTAGTTTTCTATGTTGTTTCATCTGTACTATTATTTGTCTATTTGTCTTTTTATTTTTGGCCATGGCGTTGTCAGTTTGTTTTCGATCTTCGAGTTTGACTCTACCTCTGGTATCTTTCGTCCTACTTCTAGTATATTGATTAAGAAGAAACAAAGTAACAAACAAAAACTGGGGAAATCTGATGAACTCCAACAGGAGCGAGATCGGATACGTCGACGGGGTAAGCATCTCATGCTATGCATGCATCATCCGCCATACGAATCCACACTGAGTCGAAATGTCACAATTGTTCAGTGGTTCCGCGCCAAAATATATCTCTATAAAGGTTATTTAAAACGTCCACTATATACAATCAAAACTATGTACACGATTATGTGGTCTAGCTTATTTCAGAGAAAGTCATCAGGCAGCTCTGAATCCCGCAACTGCCTTGGCAAATGTTACAAATGTTGGCAGTTATTTCGAAGCCCTTATAGTCATTGGGAAAACGATTGGCCTCTGTCATATGTTCTTGTTCGTTCTTGGTAGAAATGGGTTTTATCGCTGGTCCGGGTGTCCTTTAGGGCTCAAATATTGTTGATGGTCAATGTCGATTAGATCAAGCTTGATCTTAAAATGCATGCTTAATCTGTTTGAATTTTGTTCTAAGAGGCTTTTCAATTTTAATGATTATACCATATTTATGACACAGCCATGTATTTGGTCTATGTAGTTGTGCACAATGCTCTTTTCTGAAATTGTTCTATTTTCTTTATCTTATTTTGATTTGTTGGATCAAAAACAATTATACAGGCCTAAATAATACTTTGACGTTTTTAAACTTCTTTTTCGAATGATACAGTGAAATGATGTTATTGATATAGCGGATTTTACGTTTTGGAAAGCCATTGCAAATGAGCCATTGAATGGTATTTAATTTGAAATTTTCTCTTAAATAAGTTGTTTGTTTGATATCAAAGGGCATAAGGTATGATTTGCATATCATTGTTTAACAAAATAATAGTTGGAACTTCAATTTTTTTCATATACAAAGAAAATATTAGACTTTTCGCCATGAGGTCCATGTGTATATTTTAAAAAGGAAAAAACGCTGAATTACTTGGAGAGAAAATGCTTCATGTTCTTGTATTTTCAGATGTCAATCATGAGAATGTTGACGTGATCAAGTAAATTCAATAACAAACGTACACATAATTATCAATACAAAATAAAATGTAAAATTGACTATGTTGGTTTATGAAAATGTGTTTATTAGTGACAGCTTGTTGATGAGTATATTTGTACACAAGTCAATACCATTTGTTTTATTAACACTTTCACATGTTACCACCTCATTAGAAAATAAAAATCATGTACATTACAGGTATCAATTTTCATATCGATTTTCTCACAGTTTGTTTACTTTAATAAAATATTAAAATTAATGGCTATTTTTCTGTCACTACAATATTTACGTTGTCAAATATTTTTGTTGAGATCTCGTAACCGGAAAGTTCTTCATATTCTTCCAAAACCATTACAAAAATGTCCTTGAACTTTCTATGAATGTCCTAAATCAGTTATAAACTTTACAGCTGTTGTTCTTATATCCCGGTATGATACAAAAATCAATGGACGGATTAACACATTTTTCTTTTAAATCTATACTACTACATGGTTTGAATCCTAATCTCATGCTAATTTCCAAGTGCTATTAGGTCGTTTTTTTTTCTCAACGACAATTTTCTTTGCCGCATAAAATGCTTTTTAAAAAAAAAATCAAGATTTCATGCAAAATGAAAATTGTATTTGGAGTTTAACAAAGGTACTTCCGAATCAAATTTATAAAAAAATGTATAGCGTTTAATCATGTTATGACAAGTATGCATGTATATACACGTAAACGTGATTTGCATGTCTGCTTTACATTAACCGTGCAGTCAAAAAATAAAACTAAACACAATTTACTACATTGCATTTCTTAAACAACATATTAATTGAAGAGTTATTAAAAGCTGTCGTATAAATGCAATTCGTTCGATATTTGGAAAGTAATATTTCTCGACAAAACATCCCACCTTTCATTTCAATTTCAATTTTTTTTCAAATTTGTTAAAATTGCTATATTTCATAATTTGTTTGTAAATTATCCCTCTAAATTATTTGAACTGCTTGCCTGGCTGGTCATTATATGGGGTGAATCCTATTCATACGATCACCGCCTCCTGTCGTCTCCTCAAGCTGATAAGCAACTATAACTAAATTACCCTTATTTATCATTGTTACTACTTGCTTTAATGATTTGACACACGTACGGCCAGAAACATATAACTGTATGACTCTTAAGCAACGACCCCTGCCTGGAGCCTTCCTCAAGCTAAGCAATCGATCAATTCAAGTGTTTGCCTCCCCCAAGATTACGTTAGGAACTAGACATTAAAAAGGTTTAATTATCCTATATATTATTTTAATACCGGTAAATATGTTAAATATTTGAACGTTGTTCTGTATGGTGTGTATATTGATAAAACTGAAATTTCGTTGCATCTTTGCTATTGGCCCCTCCGATGAGGGACCTAAAATAGAGTAAACATTTGAGATCGTGAAAGAAATTTACCACTAGAAAACACTGACCTTTCATTTGAGATCGGGTGAGTAATTGAAAATTCTTGGAATAAAGGAGTGTCGCTTTCTATAAAGATACCATCATCGGATTCTGGATCTGAGGGGATGTCGTTTAAGATGCCATCTTCTGTCATCGCTGTAATGGGTAAAAAGAGATGAAAAAACGCGATATTACTAGTATAATGGACAGAAAAACTGACGAATATGAGAAAATAGTTTGTCTACTTAAAGCATCTACATTTGCTTATTTCTAATTTCAATTCTCTAAGAGTGTATGTATGCAAGATTTGATTATATTGAACTAATATATTGGTCAATACTTTTTAATGGCCTTTAATACTGACAATTTTGACTGTACCACATATCTCGAATTGAAATGTGTGAAAATAAATGTTAATATTAAATTCAAATGTGTAGTCAGGTGTTGACTTATTGATTTGCTAAATAGTAATGGTTGTATGAATCTGTTGATTTTGCAAACTTGTCATTTCCTTTTGTGTCGTAACTGCAATACCCTTCCCTTTTCGCGAATGTGACCTGCCGAATTGCACTATTTACCGGATTTGTAATAACATAAGCAACACGACGGGTGCCACATGTGGAGCAGGATCTGCTTACCCTTCCGGAGCACCTGAGATCACCCCAGTTTTTGGTGGGGTTCGTGTTGCTTAGTCTTTAGTTTTCTATGTTGTGTCATCTGTACTATTATTTGTCTGTCTTTTTATTTTTGGCCATGGCGTTGTCAGTTTGTTTTCGATCTATGAGTTTGACTGTCCCTCTGGTATCTTTCGTCCCTCTTTCAAATCTAATTCAAAACGCAAAATCAAATAGTAAGCATTTCATTTAACATTGAAATGTTTACGATATGACCTAAAAAAAAACTGATGCGAACCGTTATTTTTGCCATCAAACTGCACGTCACAAAGTACAAAATAGAGTGTACCTGTAAGATCCTCCTGAATATGGATTGCCATTTGGCACCGAATGGTATGTTCACATCATGCAATCACCCTTGTTTGTATTGAGTTTTTGTGTTGCAAAAATCTTTAGTTTTCTTTATGTTTTATCGACTTTTGTTTGTTTTTAGTTTTGGTGCTATGTGTCTTTTTATATACCTGTGATATAGGTCTTACCATTATCCTGAAAGGCACCAAACTCCCACACAGACAAATCAGATTCCTCATTAAAACCATTGATATCGCCTAAATAACCTAATCAAGGAAAGAAATTAATATTATTAACACCAAATCCTGTCATATCTACTTTCAAAAAGAGGTATAAAAAGTCAGCAATACAGGGGTAGGGATATACAACGCTAAGAGGCTCAACAATAGTGAGTACTGGGCGTTCAGTCAACGAATTCTTCTTCAGTTATCATGAAATCATTATCAAATAAAAAATCAATAAGTTCTGCAAAGTTGTAAAATCTTACATACTCTTCATGGCGTAAAATATATTTGCCGAGATTTTTTCTTGTAATAACATTTCTTATCCTATAACAGATTCATCATAGTTTAAAATAGTAGCCATTTATTTCCATCAGAAAATAAACCATTGAAACTACAAAAGACACTTAAAATCTGCATTATATAAAGCTATCATCAATTAGTAAATATGAAAAAATAATACCTGATGGACGTATATGTATATGTATAATGTAATAAGTGGTTTTCTAATGGGATATTATAAAAGCACAAATTGTGAGGTCACATATTTGACTTCGTAAAACTTCTAATTTTAAACTGAGACATAATTGTTATCTTAACTGTCTTTCCAATTTGATCAATGTTAATGTTTACCATTTCTTTTTAATTAATTCTTGCCAGATATGTATTATACATAATACGAACCTTGAATGAGAGATTTCATTTTCTTGGAATGTGATATTTTCAGGGGAGTTTTACCACCATACGTTGATAAGGTTGGATCTGCACCATATGACAATAAAAGTCTCACCAATGGCACAAAGTCATTATCAACAGCATCATGAATTGGCCTGAAAACGGTAATATAATTAATTATCAAGCAATGGACCCTAAATCTGGTAGATAAAGAGTGTCAGATCGAATAATGATTCCAATAAAATGTTTCCCAAAACTCAATTATAACGGGAAGTACATCGAATTATTGCATCAATGATTTCTATACTTTGAGGCAGGTAAAACATAAATCATAAAGTAAGCATATGGACTAATGGAATATGTTTTAATGTTATCTAGAACTTTGCTTACTCTAGGAAACTAAATGCTGAAGTTTTAAACATCCTTTCAAAACTTTTACGAATGCCAACATGACTAAGTATACCGGGGGAATCTATATATATATATATGTCAAAATAACCAAAATGTCTTTCCAAAAATAAAAAAAGGTGCATAAACTTGGTTGGTCTGTAAGATATCTTTCAAGTTTTGTTCTATCATTATTCAAATATGGATGACAAAACTTCAAGATAGTAGAGATGGTAAAGTAAATGTGTTCATTCAGGAAAACACTTACATCAATCTTGTATATCAACATTCATATTCAATATTGTTATACAACACTTATGCCTGTATTTTTTTCATTTTTATGTACACAGGGGAAGAATTATATTGAACAAATTTTGGTGGCAAATAGACAGACAGACGTACGAACATGACAAAAATGTCAATATCCCAAATATAGAAAGAAATATAGAAATTTACAAAAATTACTTTAGCATTACTCTTTACAACGACTATTGTAATCTATTATTAATCAGTCTTGCTACTACTCCTCAAATAGTTCTAGTATTATGTAATAACAGTTTTTTCCATCCACGTCAGTCAATATGACAGACCGTCGATATAACATCACGTATAAGGTCGTTAAATGCATACTTTTCCAATATTGTCAGAATACAGCAATGCAATTAGATAAAACCTCATCATATATACCAGGCTTATAATTTAATACACTAGAAATATAGTATCAAACACGAAGATGAAGAGCATTGAAAACCAAAATTCTAAAACGTTGTGTCGCATATGGATATGGCCATCCATGCGTATCGGTAGAAAACCTTAGTCGTTTACTTAATCGTTTAAACGATTTAAATGCGTTATAACAGTAAATTTACAAGAATTCAGCATACCATTAATTAATGCCAGCATAAGAGCACTGATTTCAGGACTAATGATGAAACGTCCATAAAAAGTGGCATCGACCAAATGGTTGTTAAAGCTCTTCAAACATACCAAAACATCGTTTTAAAAAAAATTAGCATGTAGTCTTTTTCAGAAAGGGTTTCATTTCGTTAAAATTTTCACATCTTACAGTTGCACTACATACATCATAAGAAAGTAGTAGGACAACCCTTAATGGAGTACATATACACTGCCATGACAATGTAACAAGTTTCAATAGTTCAACATTAGGGCTACATTTATAACAAACGCAATGAGGTACTGAGAATTTAGACAAAGTTGACATTTACATGATTTTATAGTATACAATATAAAAATAAGGAGATAATGTATGGTATGATAACCAATAATACATCTACCCATAAAACAGTGTTCAAAGATCTTACAAGAGAGTTTAATTGATAACTTTCAAGATTAAGTTTCTTTAAATGATCAATCAGTTTATTTGCACGGGTCGTACTTATTACGTCCATGAACGTTTGTGTATAATTTTTCATAATTCAAATTTAAAATATTAATCAAATCATCATATATTACCATTGAAACTAAAGTCCAAACATTGTACTACCATCAATTGCATTACCCTCAAGATTAAAAAGATTGAGAGGCTAACTGCTTTTTCATTTATCTTCATTATTTTAAGGCCTTTCCCCTACGCGAGGAAAGACCTTATTGTTTTTCTAATGTTTTTTTTTCTTTTTTCTCCTCCAACATTTTTTTGACATGGCCTCCCCCCGTTTCCATTGCAGTTATCAACACCAAATATGGACCATCGATAGACCTCATCATGAAGTATTACCAGATGACCTTGTGTAGGATTTCATCATCCCCTTTAGAAGTTATCTCCCTTTTATTGTATTTTTTCTACATGCCCCCCTCTCGTTGTTTTAAAGATATCATGACCTTATTTGGACAATATATAGATCTCATTATGATGTATTACCATATGAGGCTGCGTAGGATTTCATCGTCCCCTTTTAGAGTTAAATCCCCTTGGAGCAATTTCTTTAATTTGCATTTTTCTCGGCATTTTTCTTTAAAATTATTACAGATAGAATAGATTTGAAAATGTCAACATGTACAGGAACAGATGGCAATGTTAATTATCTTTTATCTTTGTATTTGGGATTTAAATTATTTGTTAAACACAAAGTAAAAGTCTTTTTTTTTCACAATTACTCCAACGCACAAAACTTTATATTTATAACGCTATTTTCTATTAATATCAACAAAGGTGGTCTATATTCACCTGTGCATAAAATAACAACATATTTAATATTTATTATAAATAGCTATAATATCGTGTGAACTATTTCCTGATATCTTTATAGTCGAATCAAATTCTTCAGGATCTAAAGAACTGGTGAACGACTTTGGCCCTATAGCCAGATAACTGGTACTGACTAATACAAACACTTCATACATAAGTGTACGTAAATCAACGTGAAAATATGATGCGATAAAACACACTGGATGACCTAATTGAAGTGGATATCTCGGGCTGACGGGAGACGTGTCAGACAGTACAAATAACTAATAGTAGTAACGGTTAATAATTACACAATATTTGTATATTCAAATGAACGAAAATTCAGGAAATGACTATCGACACTGTCGCCCTTATCATTGTTTTACTATTATTTGTTTTCAAGCTATGGTATCTGCACATATCATTAAATGAAATAACACATTACTCACTTCGTACTTCGGATGCACATTTCTATATACATAATTTAAAATAATGTTTAATTTCGGAAAACATCTTGTTTTTACTTTACATTTAAATTTTAACCAATAACAAAAATCCTTAGGAAAACAATAATACAATATAATATCATAAGAATTTTGTTTTTACTTCACATTTAAATGTTTAATCAAATTGAATAACAAAAATCCTCACTTAGAAAAACTATAAAAAAAATATAATATCATAAGACTCAAAAGTGACTAATCAGAACGGTTTAGAACAATTTAACGAATCAATTACTAATTTCAAGCGCACAAAGTACGCTTGTAATGCTAGCATAATATTTTAAGAGTACAGATATGGAGCATGCCGTTTAACGCTAGCGTTGTAGTTACATAAGCGTCGATAAAGAGCACCGAGATAGAGGGCTACCATAGTGTTACAGTAAGCCTGAAATAGATCTTGTATATTTCCTTAAAACGGGTTACATCAGCTAATTATTCCATAAATATAGAATAACAAGATATGATTGCTACACGGGGGGGTCTCTTCCAAATGAAGGAATATACATATGTGCCGCTGGAATGGGTCCCTTTTTTGATACGTCAAATATATCAATGGGGTGCAATTTTACCGAGGAAATATATCAATAAGTAGTAATTGACCAATTGTGATATATCAATGGGTCATAATTTTTCAGTTTGTTGTGCAACGATTTTCACTGAATTTCCAAAACTCTTTGTCATTAAAATTTCCACATCTGCTGAAACTTATTGACACAAGTTTTGTTATTGATCAAATTTTATTACACTGTCACAATTAATAATCTTTACCCACTAGAGTATAGTAAAAAAAAAGTCACATATCGAACCTTTTGCACTTTAATATTGAATATATGAATGGGTTATGATTTCGCTGTGAAATGTATGTATAGGTAGGGATTTCACAATTATTCAATATATGAATGGGGGTGTTTTTTAAATCCAAGCTGCACAACTGTACCCAAAATCCCATGTTGAGACCCCCGTGGATTGCTAATGAGACCAGCATTCTGTGAGTATTGCATGGCAATACATAGTTCCCTACCGTTAAAAAAATCATTGTATTGGAACAAAATTCTAACTTGATCTATAACTTGTCATGGTGTAAACTATATAACAAATATCAAGTCAATATCTTCAAGCATGACGAAAAAAAGTGTTGAAACTGATTATTTAAGTATCCAAGGACCATATCTCTGCACAAAATCATCAGATCGGAACAAAATTCGAACTTGATCTGTAAATTGTCATGATAAAACTATATATCAATTTTCAAATCAATATCTTCAAGCATGACAAAAAAAGTGCGGAAAACTGATTATTTGAGTGAATTTTTCTAAGTCAAAGGACCATATCTCTGCACAAAATCATCAGACCGGAACAAAATTCGAACTTGATCTGTAACTTGTCATGATAAAACAATACACCAAATATCAAATCAATATCTTCAAGCGTGAAGAAAAAAGTGTGGATGGACAGACAGACGGACGGAGTGCAAACCTAAAGTCCCCTTCGACTTCGTCAGTAGGGTACTAATAACTATACAAAGATTAAAGGACAAAAGACTGCGAACAATAACAGGCACCGTATAGCGATCAACAATCAACAAAAACCATACAAACAATTCAAAAGAGAAAACCTGCGGTCTGATTTATACTACAACAATGAACGAAAAGCAAATGGCAGACAGCAACCAACGATAACTACTGGATAACAGGTTCCTGGCTTGACCCTGGAACAATCATAAAAGAATGTCCTGGGGTTTAAGAGTGCTCAGTCCTTCCCAATCCCTGTGTCAGAGTCGTGTTACAACACAAGACAAGAAAAAACTGTAAAAAATAAGCTGTAAAAGGTTTGCTTATCAGATCGGTAATTAGGAAAAAACCAAATAAAAGGACAAAAGACAAAAAATACCAATCTAAGAGTATCCGTCTCTACTGAAAGCTAGTGTAAAGTCCATCAAGTAAAATAAAACATGTTCTCACAGACTGAATTATCAATCAATATATCTCTTAAGGATTTTGTGTAAAGACGTCGTAAGCAGCCAGACAAAACCATGAACAAGAGCAATATTTCGTTGCTGTAGGACCACAAGTATCTTTAAGCAGGGATGCAGAGCTTGCTAATTATGTCATTTAGTTAGCATATAGAGTCAGCATAACATTTTGTTGAGAATGAAATAGAGCTAGCATATTTATTCACGAAGTAACAGATATAGAATTAGCATCTTTCATAAAATAAGGATATGGAGCTAGCATGATATCTATAAAGTACACATAAATAGCCATCATGGTATATCATATAAGACAGATAAAGAGCTATTGTTTTCGTAAATATGATGCTTGGTGTCCACTGGTTAAAAAAGACAATCCATTTTCCATAGTTTTCTTTTATGTTTTCCAAAGATTTTGATATTTGGTCTCCCTACATTTGGAGTTTGTGCGTTTCCCTCAGTTGATTTGTACTTTCTTAATGCATTTATTGGATTTACAATACTGTAAGTCTGTCAGCTCTAATTTATACCTACAGGATATGCACTTGCACGACTAAACAATACCTTTGAGTGTGAACTTCAAAAATAATTATTTATGAAAAAGTTAGAACGAAATTCATTGTAACAAATGGAAAGACACAGGATTTCAGTATGAACTACGGACCAGTTGGTTTGTTATATTTGGGAATTCAACAAGGAAACTAGAGCATCTGGCAAAGAATCAATTTTAATAAAGAAAAAACTCAATCGTTAGCGTTTTTTACAAACCTTATTCCATCTTGAGAAGCACAGTTCACCATGGCACCATACGAGAGTAACATGCGTGCAATCACCATGTTCCCGCTCACACAGCTTTCATGAAGAGGGGTATATCCCGCATTATCTCGGACATTCACGTCTACAATTCCAGTTTGCAGATAGGACAATGCCACATCCTGAAATAACACATAAAAGGTTTTATATTTCTGCAGAGATAAAAAAAAAAAGGATATTTTTATAAGACTGACGTGCCACACGTTCCCAGTACTGTATAGTCAAAAACTTTAAAGAGGCAACACTGACATTTGCAGGAAAACAAAAAACAAACAAAACCAATAACATATACATGTAACTCTATGGTTGACCATGTTAATTCATACATACATATAGAAATATTTATCTCTTTTAGTGTATGATTAGACTCAGCTAATTCGAAAACTTCATAGTCATAGATTAAACTACAAATAAAAGGTAGGTTAACATATAAACTCATTCAAATAAAGATTCTAACATCAGTTATTCTTAATTCAAACAATTATTCATGAGATCTTTATGTGATAAAATGCAGAAATATCTGCAAACTGAACATGGGACAGGCAATAATAAACTGTAAGTGTTAGTAAATGGATGCATGACTGACCTATATATAGCTACTTTCTCAACATTCACCTAATCACAACAACTGAAACATTGAAATATTTAAAGTCATCGAAATTGGTTTAATATACTGTAACAAAGTGTTTGTGACAAAGACGCATGAATAAGGCAATCATCATCAGACTAAAATACTTATTTTCAATTGTAAGTACTTCCCTGAAACACAATTAGCCTTAATATCATTTCCACAATGTAAAGTTTCCAAAGGAGCAGTATGAGTGATGGAATGGGGCCCTTTGATCTGCCATAAACTTAAATTGTAAGTACTTCACTAAAACACAATTACTCTTAATATCATTTGCACAATTTGAACAATGTAAACTTCACAAAGTCACTGAAGTATGTGATGGAATGGGGTCTGTTGATCTGATAGCAATAAACTGAAATGAATGAATTACCAAACATCAATAATCCATCATTAAGACTTCTTCTTTAACACAACTATGGAACAATGAGCATAGACCCATTAAATAATTCATTTAACATTTTGCATTGCTTACGTATCTTATAATTATCATCATACTTGTACTAAATGATTTAACATTATAAGACAACTGCTAGTCTAGGAACCTATTTTGGGACCAATAGCTGATAGAATGAATTGAATCATAGCTTAATAAAAGTTTAAACTAACATCCAGTATTAATCGGTCATAGGTACTATATATGCGTACCAATTGAAGCAGGAAATACAATTTTTATGTTTACCTTCCGCATGATTAGTTATAATATAAAAAGACTTCCTTGTGTTGATTATTTGTCCTCTAGTGACCTTTTTGTCTTACCTACACACCGATCAATACAAGCTATAAGACATTGTTACAGATTATAAACAAGATTAATCAATAAGCCTAAGACATTGTTACATATTGATTTCATAGGAAATAAACATCTCTGGAAGGGCAAACTGGTGTAAACCTAACAAATGGAAAATTATCCAGTACGATTCAATTAACTGAAATCAAGTGACGGCAATCTAATTTTATAGAAAGGGAAGATGATGCGAACTTAAAATAAGACATGATTAGCGGATATATATTTAAAGGTGAATGTGATAGTTGTTTCTCAACGTTCTAACGAATTTGGTGTTCCAGACAAAAATCGAAAGGGACAAATAACTTGCCGAAAATATTGTTCTGAAGTACAGTGGAAAAATACAGTCAACATAATTATTTAAAAATCCAAACTGCAACAAATAAACTTCCGTGATCTTTATCTAATAAACAACGAAAATAATAATCCCAATAATCCCCGACGGAAAAAGGTATATATCAAATACATCTTAAAACTTAAAAGCTATCATTAGAACAAAACAACGATACTGGGAAATCAACGGCCAAAAAGTCCACAAAAAATTCTGTAATATATTTTTAAAATCCATTTCTATAACGAAGGTTCTTTAAAAGGGTTATTAAATGAATGAAGGGACGTCAGACATAATAATATACAAAATCTTTCAGGACATCTGCTTTGCTGAGAAATGACAGTGACCAGAAAGAAAATTATTGTACATATTTTTATACCTTTTTTCAAGTGAACATGTATAAACTTTCACATAATATAATTGTGTTTCAATATAAAAACCCATTTAAACCTCATAGAATCTAATGTGCCAACGTCAGATTCGTGCAAGCACACTTTAACAAGACAATGGATTATAAAGAACTAATAATACGACAAACTAGTTCTGTAATCTGATTTAGTAGACTGTAAATAATTAGAAACAAAATCAATGATTAATAAACGTAAGTGAGTATTACTAAGTACTTCTTGTCTGCATTATAAATTGCAGCTTTAGTATTGTCACAGTGCATTAAGGGAACGATTACATACTACATTACACATTACTATTAACTTACTTCTGTTTTTATAATGTTGATGGTATGTATATAGTGTGTTTGTCATTCATATATGAGAGATTACAATAAACAAGAGTGCACACGCTGAAATGTCTCGTCTGCTTTATAGATAAAGATTTCAGTTATGTCGAAAGTCTTTAAGATAAAGGTTCTAAAACAAGTATCACATAAACTTTACACTAACAATGACCCATTTAAATGAAGTCAATGTCATCTGAATCCTGCCAGACGGACATGTTCACCTTACAATCATTCCATACACCAAATATGGTTAACCGATTGCTTATAATATCATAATCAAACAATAACAATAACCAATTAACCATGAAAATTGGTTATGTTCAGATAAACCATACAGACGGACATGTACATGTACTACATACAATCATTCCATCCACCAAATATAGTTGACATATTGCTTATAGTATCTGAGAAACGGACTGAACCATGGACACTTAACATTGATGAATGAACCATGAAAATGAGGTCACAGTAAGATGAACTCTGCCAGAAGGATATATACACCTGACAATCATTCCATACACTACATAAAGTCGACCTATTGCTAATATGATCTGAGAAACTTCCTGGACAAATTAAATATTTCCATGATATATCTAATTACAAGTTTCAGACAATTTATGCGTATGGCAAACGTTTATTAATTCTAAAAACAAGGAAGTTATAAATCAATCGATAACTTCCTAGAAACAATATTTAAACATTACTTGGACTAGGTTACTTCCTAGAAAAACATTTTTTTTTATATTTTTTGGAGTTATAAACATTATAACATAAGTTGCACGTTATATTTTAAAACTAGATTAAGTTGTCAATGGCAATCATACCACATCGCCTCATTTTTATAACTTGAGGTCTTTGAACCCTATTTCCAATTAAAATATAGAATTGCACAAGACTTTTAACACGAAGGATGACTATTTATCAATACACGGGTTTCACTAAATACTGAGATAAAGAAACGCAGGTAAAGCAAAAACAATGAAAGATCTTTAAGAAAAGTGCATTATAGTCTTGACAACAAATGAACAAAGATGAAGGAAAAGAGAAAGAAAGGGTGCTTATCTTTGTTAATGAAACAACGAACAAGCAATGAATCAATGAAAACCAGGAAAAAGAAGGCTAACATTTGGTATGAAAACAAAGAAATATAACATGGGTACAAAAGGAAAAAGAAGAAAACCTTTATTATGGAATCATGCACATACGTTTTCCTGGTCTGTTTCTCTGATAGCATTAAACAAAGAAAACAAACTTGGATCTTTAAATAAAGAAAAGCAATCAATAATTCTTGAACAAAGAAGGTCAATGTGAAACAAAGAAGGTCAAGATGGAACAAATAAGGTCAATGTAAAACAAAGAAGGTCAAGATGGAACAAGAATTATCAAGATGGAACAAATAAGGTCAAGTTGGAACAATGAAGGTCAATGTGAAACATAGAAGATCATGATCGAACAAAGAAGGTCAAGATGGAAAAAGAAGGCCAAGATGGAACAAATAAGGTCAATGTGAAACAAAGAAGGTCAAGATGGAACCCAGAAGGTCAAGATGGAAAAAAAAAGGTCAAGATGGAACAAATAAGGTCAAGTTAGAATAAAGAAGGTCAATGTGAAACAAAGAAGGTCAAAATAGAACGAACAAGGTCAAGATGGAACAAAGAAGGTCAATATGAAACAAAGAGGGTCAAGATGGAACAAAGAAAGATAAGATGGAACAAAGAAGGTCAAGATGGAACAAAGAAGGTCAAGATGGAACAAATAAGGTCAAGTTGGAACAAAGCAGGTCAATGTGGGACATTGATAAAGGAACCATCCAAGGACATCATTGATCTTTAACATGAAACTTGGATGCTGACATCTTGCAGAATAACTTGGATCGAAGAATAAACAAATATTGACAAAAACACCAAAATCAATTCAGATGAGGAAAATATGACAAAAAGAAAAAAGACCCTCGATATTTAAGGTATCCCAAGAAAAAAAGGGAATGATAGCTTTAAATAAATTACAGTTAAAATTAAAGAAACTAAAGAAACATAGCAAGAATACATGAAGGACAGCGACAATGCAATTAACAAAAGACATAAACAGATACAAACGGAGAACACAACATTAATGAATGCATTTCTACTCAATAACCTTAAACATGTTAAAACATGATATTCATTTCCTAAAATTGTTCAACCAAGAATCATAAAAACAAATCATTACTGATAGCTATTCAACCAACAATCCTGAACATATAAGATACATGCTATCTATTCAACCAGTAATCCTCAAAATATAACATGCATGATAGCTATTCAACCAGCAATCCTGAACATATAACATGCATAATAGCTATTCAACCAGCAATCCTCAAAATATAACATGCATGATAGTTATTCTACCAGCAATCCTGAACATATAACATGCATGATAGCTATTCAACAAGCAATCCTAAAAATATAACATGCATGATAGCTATTCAACCAGCAATCCTCAAAATATAACATGTATGATAGCTATTCAACCAACAATTCTCAAAATATAACATGCAGGATAACTATTCAACCAGCAATCCTGAGAACACAACATTCAAATAAATCAAACAAGAAAATATTTCAAATTCGATGAAAACAGAATAGAAAACTGGAATCCTGGTTAAAACATTCCAAATCTAACAAAATAATAAAAACAAAAAATCTTAAATAAGAGAATATAAACCTTACCTCATGTCCCATTCTAGCAGCACGGTGAAGTATTGTTTCTCCGGTGTCCTTACACACACTAAGTTTCTTCACTTCCGGAAGAGATGGTATATATGGCACCGGTGCAAGATGATCAACAGGATCGGTTGCATCAAAATCATACTGGGAATAGTCTGCTGAATGTATCTAAAACAATATTGTTTGTCAACTTACATAACATATTTTGTCGAAAGTAAATCTATTGTTTGTTTTGAGATGACACTTTGAATTGTCAAGTAAATCTATTGTTTGATTGAAGGTACTTGACATTGGCAGGTAAATCTATTGTTTGTTTGGAGACACTTGAAATTGTCAGGTAAATCTATCTTTTGTTTGGAGATGACACTTGGAATGGTGAGGTAGATCTATTGTTTGTTTGGAGAAATTTTGAATGGTCAGGTAAATCTATTATTTCTTTAGAGATGAAACTTGCAATGGTCAGGTAAATATATAGAAAAAGAGACAATATTATTTATTAGAGCATTGAAAGTTTTATAAAAGTAATTTGTCTTCTTGAATCTTTACACCAAGCGGTAAAAACCAGATTAAAATGCTACAATACAGAGAACACTTTCATTCCTAATTTTGCATCATTGTTTTAAAATTTAAAAGCTTGGGAGACAAAAGTATCAATAATGTTAATAACTGCCTGTCACGAGTAGCAATACCAGATTTAGGAATGAAGTTTCAGAACCCGTAATAAAAAAGTGACGTTTCCATTTCAATATTGGTGACATAAGGACAAACTACCAGACAGATAGTCAAACGATGTAAGTCATAAGGCTTTTTAAGAAAACTTACATCCATACAAGGCATTCGGGAACCACTAAAAACTTGAGAGCATCCAGCATCATCAAAGGTCTGTGTTTGCAATGTTAATCTGGAAGGTGCAGATACTGTCTTCTTTAAACCGTATCTCATTCTCCCTCTTTTTCTTATCCTGCGTCGGAACCTCCTTTGTTCTTGAGGTTTAAACAATATTTTCATGCTAACACCTTTACTTTTGCCATTTCGTAGCGTTGTGCTGGTATTTTTTACCTCCCATGTTCCGCTATTATCAGTTTCCACTGTAGAAGGTGTCGCCTCCTCATTGTTCTGTTCAGGAAGTCTTGTTTCGACCTGTTCTGTTGTAGGCGGTGCAACTGTCCTGGCTTTTGTTTTCATACTTAATCTTTTATTAAACCTGTGTACACGTTGTCGATGACGAAATGCCTTGCGTTTCTCTTCCCTTCGTAATTCTTTCTCATATGCTGCATTTCTATGATAACCTCGTCTCCCAGCTATCAACATAAATGAGGTTAATATTCTGAATGTTGTACAATGGACACTGTATACAGTTAAGTGTTCTTTATGTCTTGTAGTTATGTTCTATTGGTTTGTTAAAGTTGTGTTTTATTAATTTTTTGTAGTTGTGTTTTATTGATTTTATATAACAGAGCACAGAAAATTTTAACAACAAAATGGGAATGTAACAAACAAACTTGAAGAAGTTCAAAATGGAATGATTTGTAAAATATAATTGGTTTGGTGTAGTCATGATATCATTGTGACTTTATCACTTCAAACATTAAATAAAATGTTTTTAACTCAAATGAAAACCAAACAAACCAACCTAGTTTAACACTTATAAAAAGGTTATCTTTTATTTTCCTATTTATTTATGCTTATAATATTGATGTGTTCTTAATTAATCAAATCCTTCACATCAAAACAATAATTCCATGAGACATGTTTAGGAGCAAGCATTTCATTTGTGTTGTGTTTGTATACCAGTACCTGATTTTCGTCTTGTTCTAGATTCTAAAACTTGTGGCTGGAAGTCAATAAATCCTCTACTATGTTTTGAGATCTGCAATCTTCTACGCATTCGCCTAATATTCATGGAACCTAATATGAATAATTATTACAATTAGTAACATATAACCTAATATGAATAAGTATTACAATTAGTAACATATAACCTAATATGAATAAGTATTACATTTAGTAACATATAACCTAATTTGAATAAATATTCTATTCATTTAAAATTTTCTGAATAAATTGACAATAAAAATATTTCAGGTTCTCAATCATATAGCTCTGTTCTGACTAATACACGACTTTAACCGTTTTGTTTTAAACAATGTCAAAAAATGGGTGCAAGTTCTTCTTGGTGTTTTCATCCGTTGTGGGAATATGCAAATAGAACGAATTCATGATGAAAATGCTAACAGCCAGATAGTCTTTGTTTCTTACCTGACATAGATCCAGGGACATTTCTTATTCTTCTTCTGATTTCATCAGCCTATAATATAAAGTTATGCAAATGATGAATTTCTTTTTGCCTTGTATTTAAAAAATATATAAAAAATTCAAGAATAGAAAATTAACGCAATTTAAAAATCTCCACAAAAAAGCCAAGCTTTGATCTTCTCTTTTGAATACACCAACAAGTCGAAAGCTAAAAAGTGGGCAGTGAAGATGAAGTATAAGGGTTCCTATTATAATAACCAATTATGCACATTGCACATTGTCAATCAGCTAGACTAGTTTAACTTTACTGGGGAAAATGGAGTGTGCATTACTATTATACTATTTCTATTGTAAAAGTAAACAAATGAAGAATGTGTCCATAGGACACAGATACCCCCCGCTTGTAAATGTACGGCTAATTATGCAATTTTTCGATTTACAAAGAGACAAAACTCGAGAACGGCGAAAGTGACGCCATCCAAATTCAAAGCTGGTCTGTGTTTGGTGGTAATAAGCATTGTGTATAAGTTTTCTAATATTTGGTTGAGGCAAACTAAAGTAAGAGTGCGGAAACGGCAAATATGTCTATTAATAAAGGGACATAACTCGAGAATTGTGAAAGTGACGCCACCAAAATTCAAACTTCATCTGGGTTTGGTGGTAAAAAGCATTATGTATAAGTTTCATAACATTTGGTTGAGTTGAGCCAAAAAGGCTAGAAAGGGCTTAAAATAAGATAAGTTGGTGAACAGGTCCTCTAGTAATTCATCTTCACTGTCCACTTCATACTTTCGACTAGTGCATTTTAAAAGGCCACAGTAGTTTACTGATATTTAAATCTCGTAAATTGTAGGGAGGAGACAAATCAAGGTAACAAACAAAAACTGAATGAATCGTATGGACTCCAAAAAGGGAACCTTATTTCTTTCTCGCAACTGAAAGTGTGGGATGATAGGGGCGGATCAAGGGCCCTAGCCCCTTTACCCCTTAGGTGACCGAAATTTGTTATTACTATATTTTCGTATTTTTCAGAAGGCTCTTCCGGTCCCTCTTTTTGAATTTTTTTTATTTGCCACTAGATTAGATAATTATCGTTGCTCTGTATGTTTCTAAATTAGTTCTAAACCTTGATAATTACACTTTTTCTAACTTTGAACATTCAGTTGTGTAAGCTTAAAACTTACATATCCTAGGAAACAATCAACATTACGAAACTTTAACCGTTCATTTTATATCAAAGGAAAACACCTACCTTCCTTTTAGTATTTGAGATAATTCTCAACTTTCTGTGGGTCTGTTTGATGTGTTGTTTTGGCTTAGGCCTCTGCAATTAGAGTAATGACAATCGTAGGTAAAACAGACACAACAGAAATACTTCATTATAATACCATGTACATGGAGAAATGATTTACAAACTAAGTCATTTTGTTTAGAACACGCGCAAAACAGACATGTTGTAAAAAATGAAAAAAAATCCAAAAAGCCTACTTTTTTCTATTTCATATGTCTACATAAAACTTAACAGATCCAGTCACCTTCTGCAGTCTTCAAATTCGAAAAGTGACAAGTATGTGCACTAGATTGTGTGCCCCTTTTTAGTAAACGAATATGGCTTCTATCGTTATCTTTTTGAAGAATATAACGCCTTTGAATCATGTTATTTTTTTTTTAAATATGGCCAATAATGAAAATATCTTCATAAAAGTGGAGGTCTATGACTGAAATTCTTGTAACACATCTGTTTTTGTTTTTCCGTTATGATTTTCTTCTTTTTGTTTTACAGTAAAATGACTGTCCTAACTTGAAAAAAGTTTTATTTAAAAGTGGGTGAACAAATATTAAGTTTATCTAATAAAATGTGTAGTATAAATAAATAAAATTGATAGTTCATTGCATTTAACGTGGTAGAAACCTTAATATACATGATGTATATGTACTTATTGTTTATGTATACCTTTCTAACGGTTTTGCCCTGATTATGGTCTTTTGATTCCCTAATTGGCATTTCAATAGCACTTTCCTTTCCAACATTTTTGTGGTCTGTCGTTTTCAAAGGACAATTGTTCTGTGGCGTTTTCGGTGAAAATTTGCTATGAACAGGTACTTTCATTGGACAATTGCTGTTGTCTCGAGTTTTCATTGGACAATTGTCATCTTCTGTACACTCGGTGGTGTTCTCTTTGAATTTTGCCTTGTTGGTGTGGAGGGCTAAATTTGACTTGATTGCCTTATATTTTGGATTTCCTCTTTTTAACATAAATTCTTCCTTGGACTTTAAATGAGACGATTCTTTAATACTTAATTCTGAAATGTCATTTTGATTCGTTACTATAGTTTCCACACGGAATACCTGTATAGGTTGCGGCGTTGGAATTGACACAAACTCTTTAATGTCCTGATTTGCTGTGCCTTTCTCTGACATAGGAATGTTTTTATCTTTTGGAGAATTACATCTACCGTGCACCATTGGTGCAACATTTGCAACAGGAATTCTCTTGTATGGTAATTTTGGTCTTTGAGGAAAACTTGATTGTGGCTGTATTGAATAATCCTGTTTTTCATTGTGATTGGTTGGTTTATCAGAAGAATGTTTTATCTGTATTTTCCTATTCGGGGATACTTTGTTTTGCTTTCGACGATTTCCTTGAGAACCTGCGATATCAAGAGTTGGCGGTTCTCCCATCAACGGCGACACTTTTGGTGCTGGTAACTTTTGTTGAGGACTTAAAGTCGGCATTTTAGGAGATTCAGGAGAAATAAAGGTAGTGCTTCTTATCGGCTCAGGTGGTTGTATAGATGGTTGTTCAGATGGATGTATAGATGGTTGTGGCTTTTGTTCTTCGAGAATGTGTTTCATAGATTCGTCGTTTCTAAAAGCATTCATGATTATATGTTTCTTGGAAAACGGTTTCGGTCTATTTTCTGATTTGTTCTCAGCAGTCTTTGGAATTGCTATTTCTAAAGGACTAGTAAATTCTGTTTCTGTAGAAACAGCTTTCTCACACCCATCAGTGTTTTTTGTTTCATTTCTACAAGAGTTGAGATCACAATTAGCTAATTTACTTTTTGACTCTATATTCTTCTCTTCAAACGTGTTTTTTTCTAGATTAAATAAACTATGCTTCAACTGATCTCGATTCCACAATCGTGGTCTGTTTTTAATGATTGTTTTGCTTTGAATGTCGTTTACTATTGAACCACTTGTGCCCATAATTATCGAACGACTTTGATTAGAACGCTGCATAATTGACGTTATCTCAAGACTGTCAATACCTGGAGAAGAGGTCAATTTGGACTGCGGTTGAATGGACGGTGATTTTCTATTTGAGATCATATTAGGAGAATTTGAAACATATCCACTTGGAGAATTTGAAACGTACCCACATCTTGGTGAAGATGAAGGGGTATAACTCGTACTAGATACACGACTGCTTTTCATTTCACCATTTCTGCGCACCTGCAGAGTTTCACGTGACATACTAGGACTATTGGCTGATGGATCACGTGATAATGGAATAATATAGTCCGAAGGTGACTGTAATACGTTCGTACTGTCTGGACTACAGCACTCCTGGGGATGCTTAAATTGCAACCCCCCTGACAATACACTCGGTCGACTATGATGACCCTGAAATGAAGGCGATCTTGAGGATATAGAAACACTACTAGGAGAATATGTCGCAACAGCTGCAGTGTTATGACGGACAAACCCATATGAATCAAGTTGAGAGCGGTTACCTAAATATTTCGATGAATTTAATAATGAAGCTGAATTTGAATTTGAAACGTTCTTTTGAACCTGAGACATCATTTGATAGTTGGTTGTCTCATGATTTTTACTTGCTGGTGAAATACCATGATTTTGAGATGAAACCTCTTGCCTCTGTGCATAATACTGCGGGTGTTCCCTATACATATTATGTTGCCGTTCTCTTGAATTATTCCCAGAGTAGTTTGAAAATTTTTGAGCTTCATGGATTTGTGTACTACTGGCCCTACGAACAGAGCTACCATAATGATGAGAAGACACTTTTGATATTTCATCAGGATATATTTGATTACTAGACGTCACGTATTGACGACTGATTGTTTGACTTGAATACCGCTGACGGACATCAGTTTGATCGGGGATAAACATTTTTTGTTGCACTGTTTGCACATTTTGCACATTTTTTGCAGAACTAAAACTGTGTTTCATATGCATTGAGTCTATATTTTGCATATGCTGTCGTGACGTAGTATGATAGTCTCGTTTATGGCGCACACTTTCAGGATGCATGAGATCTACTGTAGGAGTATACTGTTGGCATGCTTGCTTTTGCATACCCATGTTGTCAACAATCGCTTGCTGAACTAGCGATTGTCGGTCATGTGATCTATCGTGTGATCTACTCTGAGAAGGTAAGCACATTTTTTTGCCAATTTGTCCATACTGATTACAATGAAGTGTTGAATCTGCACATCGCTTACGTGTTTTCAACGATAAATCTAAAGGACTTTCCGCCTGTCTTGAGTGTTGCACTGTTGTTTTATTAAAAGTTGATAAATCTAGAGGATATCCGTTAGCAACAGCATTCTCCAGACTTTCATCACTCATTTCGTCGATTTCGAGTGGTGGCAGACGATTCGGTGGAGGAGGAGCAACTTTTGGTTGCCATACCTTCCCTCGAGCTACACCAGGGGGGTTCTGTGCTGTCCATTGTTCCTGTAAATTTGTAACAGTCGGTGTCCATTTTTGTCCATTCCAATCACACGATAACCCTGGCTGAATGTTATTGTTCATCTGAAATAAAAAATGGAACATGAAAAATTAGCATAATTAATGTTTCATATGTTTAAAGTCGAGTCGTGATAAAAAGGGATGTCGGATAAAAGCCCATTAAAAGAACTAACAACAGACATCTCGGGTTACCATGCAGTCTTTAAAAATGGACCATACAAGCACCCATATCGTAGGTTAAGTTGTTCAAACTATTAACTGTATACGAATTTGTCAGATAAAACGCATTATTTTTTTTTCATTCCCAATGTAGAAAATCGGAAAGTTGTTTAACGGTTTTCACCAAAAAAAAACAGTAGTAACTAAATTTTGGTGTAGCACCATAGTTCAATTCTGTAAATTATTTTTGCCATTATGGTATGTTTTATTATCACATCTGACATCATTATCATTGCTTAGTATGATCTACAATTGAGTATCGTAAATCACGCATTGATCATTTTGATGCGTTTATCTTAGGTTCCAAAAAAAAACCGAAATTTGACTTATAAACCCAATTACGATATAAAAAGAGAAACGGTCTAAATAATATACTTCATTAAGTATTGAACAATTCTACAATTATCTATAAGATGTATTTAAATTTGTAATTTCTTTATGTTTTTGTAAACTTACATCGAAAGACACAAACATTAATTAATTCGTATATTAAAACAATTAATATGGTTATTTCTTCTGCAATCGGCTACCTTTGTACAAATAAAAGGTGGAAATAATGTTTTGCTTTATTTCAGTAGGTTACGAACTAGTCGATAACCGCGAAATCATGGGCATGTTAATTGTATTGTGTTGATTTTCAAAATTCTTATTGTTAACTGAGAAGATTACATATAGTAATTTGCTATGGTCAAAGATTTTTTGCCACGTTCATATGATTGATTTCGTTCGTCAAAGAATCAATTTTATTAGGGTTACTCAAATTTTATTGCATTTTATAACAACATTGTGGGGCTATGTGATATGGTTATATGTGTGGGTTTTTTAACTCACGCCTTTCGTCAAGTGAGCGTGTGCTAATATATATGGCAAGAACGCGATAAGTTAAAAAGTTGGGGTGCACCTTTTAATGGACGTACATGTATATGGAGCAAGACGTGTCACAATGCTCATAAAACATATATCTGAAAAATCAATAGCAGAATGTCTGAGTGAATTGGGACAAAAATTTCCTAAAAACCAAATTGTTTCAGATCTGTCAGTTTATGATTTGTACGTGTAGAACTCCTAAATAGTGGGATGTTGTAATTACATTATAAACAAGTTTTGATATGATATGATTAGACATGTATGCAATTAACTGCGGATACACTTTCATAAACATTTACGTAAAGGTAAATAATACATGTATTAACGTGTAGTAATTTATCTCATGTGGCACACGTCATCATAAAATTCCAATGTTATATTATATTATCATATCTAATACTGGTTTTCATTTGTATACGTTTATATAAATACGTGTTGCATTTAAAAGATTGTATATTAAGACAACTATTTCCGGAGTTCATCTATTCGTACGAACCCCCCTTTGAAAACAAATAAGCAGTATTAAAGTCGATGTTCTGTTTGAACTGTGACTATTAAAAGTTGAGATTCTGTTTGTCGCGAGTCGATGTAACACCCTCTTGAAAATTCCTGGCTACAGCCCTGTCTATGACTACCACATGTACATGTTTATAGCATTGGAAAGATTGTCAACTAACTAACAACTATTTCTCATCTATGACTACAACATGTACATGCTAGCATTGAAAAAACTTTGACCATCCTATGAAAACATTAAATTCAATACGAAAAATAGGATATCAACATATAATACTGATTAAAAGATCCATATTGATCATGTTGCTTTTGAATCTACATTTATACATCTTTTCGATTTGTCTTTTATGTCTGAGTGTATCTGTTTCAAGCTAGAAAGGTGTTTCGAAGACAATTGATTTACCAAGCCAAGGGTGTATAAATACGAAGACTTAAATATCTGAAGCCAAGGGTGTATAAATACGAAGAAACATTAGGAGCTATAGGACTAAATGAGACATAAACGGAATAGCCAAATTACTCTACGGTTATCTTTATCCGAGGGAGTTGGAACCTTAGTTTCTAAAATAATGTCTTAATTTATGAATGGGAATTTTTAGATAAGTATCTGTTCATGTCAGAAGCGAAGCACTGGCTACTGAGCTGATGATATTAACCTCGTTTACTCTAAAGCGACGGTTAAATAGACACAAAACAACAACAAAAGTACAAAACAAAACAACTATAAACACTATCGAGGAAAAGAATGCTTGTGTTTAACCCCGATACATTATTAATATGCCTGTCTCAAGCCCGGAGCCTGAAATCTAGTGTTTTTTCGTTGGTTGCTGTCTGTCGTAGTTGCTTGTCGTTTATTATTTTAGCATACGTAAATCCGTTTTGTTTTTCTCTCTTTTAACTTGATTCTCATTTGGTTATCTGTGAGCTTTTAATAGCTTACTACATGTATAAATACTAATTGCTCATTACCGACAGTGACCTGTAATTGTTCAGGTTTTTGGTGGATAGCTGTCCCATTAATTGACAACCATACAATATCTCCTACTTTTTACACTGAAAGCAAACTCAAACTGTTTATCTGGTGATATGAAGTAATGTCGTCCTCAACTCGTATATCGGTGTCCGTACTTATGTAATACAGCAATGTCAAAAATAGTGCAGTAGGGACCGAGTGCAATGTCCAAAAGTACTTACCTCATTATATATGATTAAAAACAGCTGACAACAATAGATACAATCTGCACGTTTAAACTGTTATATTGAGCTATTCATTTGAAATGTCATATAACCAGAAGTAGATAGGCAAATGACGTCTTAATGTAAGGCGTTTATTTTTGCTTACGCATACCAGTTTTAAAAATTAATGAAAAACTAACGTACTTTGGGCCTACGATCTTTTCTCCCTTAATCATTCAAACAGAATATTCATATATCATGATCCGTAAATAAATAAATTATAAATAGACAATACACCCCTGATATTATGTTGATATATAACCCGGAGATACAAATGATCCAGCTGTGGGATATGTCTTTTTCCTAATAACAACGTAATTTTGTCGTTTTTGTAATTTTGAACTAGCCATAGTGTTCTACCACACGTTACATTGGTTGTTTTTGTAGTTTTGTACTAGCCATAATATTCTACCACACGTGTCATTTGTCATTTTTGTAATCTTGCACTAGCCATAGTATTCTACTACACATGCCATTTGTCGTTTTTGTAATTTTGTACTAGCCATAGTATTCTACCACACGTGTCATTTGTCATTTTTGTAATTTAATACTAGCCATAATAAAGTACCACACGTGTCATTTGCCATTTTTGTAATCTTGTACTAGCCATAGTATTCTACTACACATGCCATTTGTCGTTTTTGTAATTTTGTATAGCCATAGTATTCCACCACACGTGCCATTTTTCGTTTTTGTAATTTTGTATCACCCATAGTATTCGACCAAATGTGTCATTTGTCGTTTTTGGAATTTTGTACTAACCATATATTCTACCACACGTTTCATTTGTCGCTTATGTAATGTTGTACTATAGCCATAATATTCTACCACACGTGTCATTTGTCGTATGTGTAATGTTGTACTAGCGATAATATTCTACCACATGTGTCATGAGTCATTTTTGTAATTTTGTACTAGCCATAGTTTCTACCACACGTGTCTTTTGTCATTTTGTAATTTTGTACAAGCGATAATATTCTACCACATGTGTCATTTGTCGTTTTTGTAATTTCATACTAGCCATAGTATTCAACTAAACGTGTCATTTGTCGTTTTTGTAATTTTGTGCTAGCCATAATATTCTACCCCACGTATTTTTTGGTTTATCGAGATTGTCCTTCATTTTGATACCAGTCACAACATTGAAATAATTTATCATAAGTTAACGCACAGACCCAGCTGAAGGTGTTAGCCCGTCGTACAACCACAAATCAAAAACCAAATTTCCGTCGGAAAACCCGGTAAATAAAAGGAGATGAAAAGTAAACGTTAAAAAGACAATAATCCAAAACTACAAATAATCAAAACGACATCAAAATGTCAACATATGGTCGTCAACAACATATGGTTTGCGGTTCACTCAGGCAATCAAAATTCCGCACATTTTCTTCAATCCATCAACGGCTGTAATATTTGTAAGCCGTTCAGCGACTATGCACAATATTATAATATACCTTTCTACAATGATTTTTTTGTCAGTACCAGTTAAAGCTCTAGGTAATGAAAGGCGCCAATAGACGTTAAAGAAACTACGGAGTAGTTGACAAATCGCCTTCAGAAAAGGCGCCAATCGACATAAAAGAATCTACGGAATAGTTTACAATCGTCTCAGGAAAGGCGCCAATAGACGAAAAAGAAACTACGAATAGTTAATAATCGTCTTCAGAAAGGTTCTAATAGACAAAAACGAAACTACGGAATAGTTAACAATTGTCCCAGGGAAAGGCGCCAATAGACGAAAAAGAAACTACGAAATTAGTTAATAATCGTCTTCAAAAAGGCCCCAAAAGACAAAAAAGAAACAAACGGAATAGTTATATACAACAATCGTCTCAGGAAAAGCGCAATAGACGAAAAAGAAACTACATAATAGTTAACAATCGTCTTCCGAAAAGGCGCCAATCGACATAAAAGAATCTACGGAATAGTTAACAATCGTCTCAGGAAAGGCGACAATAGACGATAAAGAAACTACGAAATAGTTAATAATCGTCTTCAGAAAGGCGCCAATAGATGAAAAAGAAACTACGAAATTAGTTAATAATCGTCTTCAAAAAGGCCCCAAAAGACAAAAAAGAAACTACGAAACAGTTAACAATCAACTTCAGAAAGGCGCCAAAAGACTAAACAGAAACTACAGAATGGTTAACTATCATCTTTGGAAAGGCAACAATAGACGAAAAATAAACTACATAATAGTTAACAATCATCTTTGGAAAGGCGAC